CCGAAATCACCCAAAACTGCCCCGAAACCCCCCAAAACCGCCCCAATAACCCTCCCGGGATCGACCCCGATCGATTTCCCGGGTCTGACCCCGAAATTCCCCAAAACTGCCCCAAAAACCCTGAAAATTGCCCCAAAATTCCCGAAAATTGCCCCAAAAATCCCCCAAATTGCCCCGAAAATCCCGAAAATTGCCCCGAAAACCCCCCCGGGACTGACCCCGAAACGCCCCAAAATTGCCCCAAAAATCCCCAAAATTGTCCCGAAAATTGTCCCAAAAACTCCGAAAATTGCCCCAAAAACTCTGAAAATTGTCCCGAAAATCCCGAAAATTGTCCCAAAAATCCCCAAAGTTGCCCCAAAATCCCTCCCGGGACCGGCCCCGGGGCCCCCTCGGGGCCTGAGCCCGAAATTCCCCAAATTTGCCCCAAAACCGCCCCAAACCGGCCCGAGCAGGAGCCCGGGAGCGACCCCGAGAGCGGTGAGTGGGGGAGGGGCGGGAGGGGCCAGGGGTCACGGAGGGGTCAGAGGTCACGGAGGGGTCACAGGGTCACTGGGGGTCAGGGGTCAGTGGGAGGGGTCACTCGGGGTCAAAGGTCACTGGGAGGTTTCAGTGGTCACTCAGTGGTCACTCAGGGTCAGTGGTCACTCAGGGTCAGTGGTCACTCAGGGTCAGTGGTCACTCAGGGTCAGTGGTCACTCAGGGTCAGTGGTCACTCAGGGTCAGTGGTCACTCAGGGTCAGTGGTCACTCAGGGTCAGTGGTCACTCAGGGTCAGTGGTCACTCAGGGTCAGTGGTCACTCAGGGTCAGTGGTCACTCAGGGTCACTCCTGGTCACTCCCCAGCTCTCCTGGTTCTCATGGTGGTCACTGGGTCAGTTCAGTGGTCACTCGCTGGTCAGTGGTCACTCAGGGGTCACTCAGGGGTCACTCAGTGGTCACTCAGTGGTCAGTGGTCACTCATGGTCACTCCTGGTCACTGCCCAGCTCTCCTGGTTCTCACGGTTGTCACTGGGTCAGTTTGGTGGTCACTCGCTGGTCATTCAGGGCTCAGTGGTCACTCACTGGTCATTCAGGGCTCAGTGGTCACTCCTGGTCACTCCCCTGTTCTCCTGGTTCTCACGGTGGTCACTCAGTGCTCAGTGGTCACTCAGTGGTCACTCAGGGTCACTCAGGGTCACTCAGTGGTCACTTGTTGATCACTCAGTGGTCACTCAGTGGTCAGTGGTCAGTTGGTCACTCAGTGGTCACTCAGGGTCACTCAGTGGTCACTCAGGGGTCACTCAGGGTCACTCAGTGGTCACTCAGGGGTCACTCAGGGTCACTCAGTGGTCACTCAGGGGTCACTCAGGGTCACTCAGTGGTCACTCAGGGGTCACTCAGGGGTCACTCAGTGGTCACTCAGTGGTCAGTGGTCACTCAGGGTCACTCTGCAGGTCTCCTGGTTCTCACGGTGGCCACCGAGGTGACCGATGGCTACCGGCGCTTCCTGCGCTCAGGGGTCACTCGGGGTCACTGGTCAGTGGTCACTCGGGGTCAGTGGTCACTGGTCAGTGGTCACTCAGTGGTCAATGGTCACTCAGTGGTCACTCCGCAGGTCTCCTGGTGCTGACGGTGGCCACCGAGGTGACCGATGGCTACCGGCGCTTCCTGTGCTCAGGGGTCACTCGGGGTCACTCAGTGCTCAGTGGTCACTCAGGGGTCAGTGGTCACTCAGTGGTCAGTCAGTGGTCACTCAGTGGTCACTCCGCAGGTCTCCTGGTTGTCACGGTGGCCACCGAGGTGACCGATGGCTACCGGCGCTTCCTGCGCTCAGTGGTCACTCAGGGGTCACTCAGTGCTCAGTGGTCACTCAG